CTCAGCTTTAATTCAAGTTTTACATCAGTATAGAAGGAACATGTGAGAGATACAGCCATTTTAAGACATAGTGCCCAAAGTTTAGAGGTTCAAAATTAATTGGACAGATACATAGAGCCATAGACATCAGCAGTGACTTTGTATCTTGCCTGGTGATGGTCCCCCTGGTCTTCACTGCTGCCACCTTCAGCTCTTGCTTGTTATTGGGTCTCCCCTGCCTTTAGACTGCATGCGCAATCAGATGGAGATCAGGTGGTTGACTAGCCAGTTGAGGATATTTGATGCACCTCTTCACCCTGAAAATATCTTTAGCCGTATGTGTAGGGTCATTGTCCTGCTGAATGATGAAATGTCATCCAATGAGTTTTGATTTGGCTGAGTCTGCCACATTCTGCAAATTCTGCAAATTCTGCACAACTGCAGCCTGGTCTTTCCTTCTTTTTCTGTTCTTTTATTTATTTATTTATTTATTTATTTTATTTTTTTACCAGGGGTTTGCAATTTGTGGTGAATCCTCTGGGGTTAAATCATGAAGGCCTTTCTTGATCATTGACAAGGAAACATGTATACCTACATCCTAGAGAGCATTCATGACTTGCTGTGCAGCCATAAAGGGGTTTTTCCTAACCATGCAAGTGATTTTCCACTCATCTAAAAGACTTGCTCCTCAGTCTGCCAGCTTTTTTGCCGTTTTCTAGTTTTCCAGTGCACACCTGCTTTTTGGTTGGACTGCAACAGTGGAGCCAGCCCTATAAACATAAATGTCTCTGACTGACTGACTGGATGAGTGATTACACCATTGGGCAGCCGAATACCCCGTGACTGAGTGATAAGGTTACACCATTTGTCTGCTGGCCAAGTGTTGGCACGGAAAAGCGACAAATCTAGCAACTTTTTTGGACAAACCCTAGCTACTTTCCATAGAAGAGAGCTGCCAGTACTGCCCTGCAGGCGAGAGGTACACCTCCATATGTGTCTAATCTGTTCAGCGAGTTGCAGAGAGGCAGAGCAGCAGTTTGTTACTCAGACGGAGGCTGTGCGCTGTATGAGAGACCAAATGAGATGTATATTCTGTCGCTTCTAATTTTCTCTCTGAATGAATCATTTTATGAGTAAATATAGCTGAAATCACAGCACAGCCGTTGTCCTTAACTTATGTGAATGGTGATTTTGTCAGGCGACGTCGCAGTTATAAAATCTAGAACTTAACAGTGCAGCTCGGAAATGGCTCGGAAGTGACTGCTGGTCACTATTTCATACTTGTTCTGTTGTCTGACAACAGAATGAAAACATGTAAATGAGAACAGCTTTGTTGGAAATTCAGCTGTATTGAAATACTGTATATGCGAGCACAGAGAGTAGGAGAGAAGCAAACAGATAAAGGGCTGAAATCAGCAGAATGCAAATACAACACAGTGACACCAGTTGTTTACGGTGGTTCCACAACAGTTTTCATCTATGTCCTCAATCATTGACCATACACAGTCAAGCCAAATACTAGGTTTTGACCTAGTCTTGCTGAGCCTCATTATTATCTTCTTCACTTCCATGGCCCCCTCTTTACTCCTCACACTGTCAGACAGCTCCACCTCAATCTGAAAGGTAACTCTCAGCTCTGAACCACGTGTTTTAATGTGCAATTTCACCGCTGTTAGTTAAAAGGGCCATATCACCCACACAGTTCTTTCAGTATTGATGTATACCCACTCAACTCAAACGCACAGAGGCACAGATCCTGATGATGGTTTGTCCATATACTTATGGCCAATACTGCGTAACTGAAATCCAAAATGTGGGAATGCATCAAGCAATGATTATCACAAACTGAGACCATGTTTAAGTGTGCAAGGGAGTGATTTTTCCTTCAACTGATCATATGCTAATGTTACTACGACACACACAGTGCTGTCAGAACTGTCGATGGTGGGGGACAAATGTCGGAGCTGCGGATGATAATGGTTCTGTGCGACATTCTCAAACCCAGTTCACCATACATCTGCAGCCGTGACCTCATTTAATCTCAGAGTTGTACGCATCCTCTCCAGCCGAGCCCGCCTCACAGCCATCAGGATCAAAGAGAGATTGGTAGTTGTGAGTCAGTTATCCTTTATTCAGCTGTGGAAATATGTGAAGCACAGAGAGAGGGATAGAGAGAGAGAGAGAGAGAGAGAGAGAAGGGATCACATGAGTGGTGGGAGTCTTGCTTAAACTCATCCCCCTGCTTTGGTGCTCTCATACCTTTCATCTCGTGCCTCTTTCTGCCACTCTCTTTCCTCTCCACCTCTTCCTCGGCCATCCAGTCTCCACTGGGCCTCACACCTCGCTCCCATTCCTCTCTTACACACTTCCACCTTTTCATTTTTGACTTTCTGGCCTGCTGCCTTCATCACTCCCCTATCTCGACATTTTATCTATGTATCGTTTCTCCTCACGTTTCTGCCAAAAACCCCACGTCTGAGGTTGTTTGTTGATTCACTGTCTGTCTCTCTCTATGTCAACCCCTCCATTATCTGAGGTCGGGAGTCACTGCTCCTTAATGCCAAATAAAATCCACCAACTCTCTCTCATCTTTTTCCGCTCTGCCTGCCTCCACGCTAAGCCGCCTGATTTGAAAGATCTGTTTATGTGTGAAAGTGTGTCAACACTTTAGTTTTTAGGATGTTTTCATGAAGAACACGCTGAGAAGTCAAATGAAGAGGAAAATTACTACATTTGTTCTTCTTCCTAATTTGGTTAGCAAACAGACTGCATTGCAGCCAACATGTAGACAGGTGCCAGCAGGGCACTGAGGTCATGTCCTTGGTAATATTTCTGGAAATTTTACTATTTATATGTAAAGTTCGCATTCAGCAATAAGACACTCATTAATGGATGATTTAACTTTTTTTGAGACAGTTTCTGTCTCTTTTGTTGGCAAAAAAAGTGAAAGGATTTTAGTGTTCTCCACCAGAATAACAAACCTGGCACCAGAGCATAATGTAGGGAGAAAAACATGTAGAATATACACAAGAGCTAAACAATTAAATAAAATATGTTTTTTTTTTTTTAAATATTCTAGAAACTGTACATAGTTACATGTGTCGCTTGTCAAAAAATATCTAAGGTGTGAGCGGTTTTTGTGGGACAAAAATCCTGGCTACAACCCTGGCTTTTGGTTTGGTTATTCTGCTGAGTCTCAGTTGGTTGAATATACACACTTTCCATCATCAACTACATCATGTTGTATACAACTAAACTCACACTTTAGTTGTTCTTATTTACAAAAGCCCGTTTCTTTTGTTTGTCTGACTACTCAATGATTATAAACTAGCGCTAAAACGCTAAAAGGGCAAACACATAAATATGACAACACCAGGTCTGTTTGATTGACTTTACTGACATTTTAAGCGAGTGATCGTATGCAAAGTTAGAGGCACCAGGAAGATGGCTTATTAACTTTACTGCCGGAGCAAGATTAGAAATGCTGGCTGAGCATTTACAAAAGGCCAGAAAAGAGAAATAGATGCATTTCCAGATATAAGACAAATGAGGTCATTGTGATGACGACAATAAAAGGTGGGAGTCTGTTGTGGGTTTGAATCAGCTGTGATGACGTTCTTCTGTCATTAACAAAGCATTTGCAACACTTTCAGCCTGTCTCTCACAAGAAATGGGCTGTAAAGTTGAAGAAAATGGAAGAACATTTTTTGGGCCATTTCCAGTTCCACCAAAGTGACTGACTCTGAAAAAAGCAGAGAGTTTGAACTTGAAATGGAGCAGATGGAAATAGAATAACGAGTAAATGGACTCAGCAAAAAAAAAAAAAAAAATTCATGAATGAAATTCAAACACCAGAGAAACAAAGAGAGAAAGAGATGCCTTTGAAACCGCCAGACACATTTACATTTGCCGAGTGAGAGCTTTTAGGCAATTTATACATGTGCTGATTTATCTATCTATGATTTATCCTAGTGTGTGTGTGTGTGTGTGTGTGGGTGTGTGGGTCTGTCAGTCGGTGTGTGTGTGCATGTGGGCGACCACCGGCTGTTTGGAGAGCAAGTCGAAGCAGCAGTTCTAAAGGTCTGACTCTGAAGACTCCCTGTTTGAAATAATCTGCCAGCTGCTACCACACACACACACACACAAACACACACACACACACACACACACACACACACACACACACACACACGCACACACACACACACACACAGGCTGCTTCTCACTAAGTGGATCATCAAAGAATCAAAGCCTGTCAATGTTTGAATTAGCCCTCTGTTTTTTATTCAGGCTGTGGCTCCTTTGTAGTGCTCCCCATAATACAGTGACACAGTCTATATGGAAGAGTGCAGCGGTGACGAGTTACACTGTTACACTGCTGATATGAATCATTCTGTGCTGCGTCTTTTTCTTCTTTTTAGGGGCTTTCTCATGTTGTGGAATAAAAAAAATAAAAAGAAGAGTGAGTAGAACGAGAGAGCTGGGGAGCAAAAGGAAGATTAAAGAGCGAAAGCAAAGTGAAGGATGAAAGAGATTTTGTGTGTGTGTGTGAGAGAGAGAGAGAGAGAGTACGAGTATGATAGCCTATCTAATAGAAAAGGTGTGCTGTGTCATAATGTAGTGGAACGGTAAGCCACTGAATCGAACACTACACAGAGCTGAGCTCCAGTGCACACATACAGCACACACACACACACACACCTCATGGAAAAACAGTGATTGAGGTGAAAGAGCATTGTGTCAGTTTCTGAGTCAGTATGCTGTGTATTAACATTTCTCTTGTTTTTTTTCCTCGCCTTTTCCATCCCACCTTCTTTCCCTTTTCATCTTTGGCTGTAATACACTTTTTGCATCCTTTCCTTTTTCCTGTCTCTTAATTTCCCATGCCACTTTTTCTTTTTTTTTTTGTACAACTCATCTGTTGTTTCCTTACTATTTCCTTCCCCGCCCTCATTTCTTCCTCCTTGCTTCCTTTCCCTCATTTCTCCCACCTTCCCCTCCCTCTGCTTCCCGGGACCCAGAGAAAGGTAACTGCTCTGCACTGTGTGCTCAAGTGTGATCATGCTTCTCCGTTGTTTACAGTAATCGTTGTGTCAAGCTCACCCCACCCCCGTCGTATAATTACATCCGTCACTAAAGGCATCAAATCAGTGGCTTTGCTTCACCCAGAGTCACTGTTGCTCTTTACAGGAGTGCGGCAGCAACTATTGAAGGTCTAAATCATTGCTGTTAAATCATCAACGGGACACTCTGGCCACAGGCTATTTCCTATTAAGAGTTGCATGCTGTTTTATAGCATTTTGATCCCCCAGAGAGGGAGCAGAAGTCATAAAAGACCCATTTGTGGTATGCGAGGCAAGGCCACTCATGCTGCTTCGGTGACACACTGCTCAAATGTCCCTGAACGAAGTGCACTGGACGCATACACACACACCACGGCACACACACTCATCGTATCGTATCGTACTTCCCTGTCTGGCCACAGGCGGGAGGTATTATCGACCCAAAGTGTGTGAGCACACAATTAAGCAGAGGAGACAGGCCGGATAATGGACTCATAAACACAAAGAGCCCGCTGTGATAAATGCCGGCTGTGTTTGCCATATTTCTGTTTGCGTCTATGGTTAATCTGAAGCGTACACTGTATATATGTGTGTTTGTGTTTGTATATGTGTGTGTGTGTGTGTGTGTGTGTGTGTGTGTGTGTGTGTGTGTGTGTGTGTGTGTGTGTGTGTGTGTGTGTGTGTGTGTGTGTGTGTGTGTGTGTGCGCGCGCGCGTGTGTGTGTGTGCGTGCACGAAGCTATTGAGCCGCATCTGGTGACACTGCCATCCAGCTGGCTTTTCTGCATGTTCCAACTCCCCATACTTCACTCTGCGTTGTCTGTTTACTCAATCATTTCAGTCCTGGCTGGAAACACAACCTCCTACCTTTTGTTCTGCAGCTTGTCTCACCTGTTAATGAGGGAGAAATGTATCTATCTTTCATCTTGTCTGTTTCAGTGTGTGTGTGTGTGTGTGTGTGTGTGTGTGTGTGTGTGTGTGTGTGGTATCTCCCACATGCAGCTGTGTTTCATCTCCCACCCACTCTTTGCATTAAGTTTCCTTCTCGGTGGAGCTTCCTCTCTCAGTCTCACCCTCATCATCCTCCTCATTTTTCCCTGCCATGTGGCACCATTGTGAAGCTAGTGGGCACGTAGTTTCCCCAGGTACCGGGACACACATCTGCCTCCCTGTATGCCTCTGTGTATGTGTGTGTGTCATTGTAGCCAAAATTGGAAACCACCATTTTCAGTGAAGTAATGACTGAGGACAGAGAAACCTGTTGTTTATGGAGCAAAAACTTCCAACACATCACATGTTAAAGGGGCTTTAAGTAATGTATTCGTCAAATAAACTTTTACTGGTGAACAAGGAATTGCAGCAACAGCAGTAAAGTTTATATCAGCTTTTAAATGACACAAATAATGAAGCAACGTTTTCACAATAAATGAGTGAGCTAATTAGAGCACAGCTCCAACAAGAAATGTCTAGAGAAGAAGTAAATACATCATGATGCAAAATGGGGTAATAATAATTCTCTTGTCATTTGTGTTTTGTTTTTTTAAACTTATGCATGAAATGTCTTGCAACGTGTTTTGGTGGCTCGTTGAACAGCTGACAAAGCAAACAGGTGCAAGGAGAGGATTGGAAAGTTTCTCTTTCACTGCTGGAGCAGATGAGAATAAAATGAGGGCTGAAACAGTGGGAGGGATTTCAAATGGAACGTAATTAAGATATTTCCAGACGCTGCTGATAATGCCAAAATTGAGCCGAACAAACCAAGAAAACTGCAGGAAATGTAGAACACAAATTGGAAATCGTATCCACATATTGGCCTTAAGCCGGTGCCCTCTGGGAAGAAGTGTCTCATCACAATATACAGCAATATCCAAAGGTGGCTCTCGCAGGAGGAGGAGGACATTAAACGGATAAAACCCTCATATAATATATATGGAATGAAGAAGTGTTATGAGATGGAACAGATATCATTAAGGCAAAATTGCACATTTACAAAAAGATGGAATCCTGTGATGGATCTATTAATGCAACAAGGTTATTTTCCATGTATTGTATTTTCTTTAATCTAATTAGCGCACAATTATTCTCTCCTCCTCCCCCTCCTCTTACATATGTGCTACATGCTAAAATACTGAAATTCCCTTCCTACTGAGGGAACAACTTGCATATTTTTTCTTGTTTTTTTCCTCCAGTAGTTAATTGTGATATTCGTCATGATTTGTTCTATCAGTTGTCTTTCCACATATAATCATGAAAGTCAGATGGCAGCTGTGAAATGTGGAAAGAAGCTTGTGTAAGTTGCTGATGTTTGATTTGTAAACCAGCCACCAGGTAAAGCTGACAGTAACTGTATTATGAGAAAACAAAGATTCTTACTTAATGCCCCTTTAACAAAGCAAAAACGTTTCGTTCCTCGGCTGCTGAGGCGCATCAGGCTAAATGCTTGTTTCTTGACTGTATTAGAAATTCATGTGTGATGACACCTGTGTGTCTTCTGTCTGTGCTTCAGGGACTTTGCCTACGTGGCGAGAGACAAAAACACGCGGGTGCTGAAGTGCCACGTGTTCAGATGTGATACTCCTGCCGCAGCCATCGCCACAAGTCTCCACGAAATCTGCTCCAAGGTGGGTGTCATCACTGTCGCCGCTTCTGCATGAATGAGCTTATCTGCTGCTCTGAAACAAGCAATCAAGCTTTAATCAGGGCGACTACTGAAGAGAGAGGGGAAAAAAACCTCTCTGCTGATGCAGTTATCCAGTTACTTTTTAAGGTTGTAACTGCGATGATACTCTACACTAATGTCCATGAATGTTATACAAAACTAATGGCTAGGAGGAGCAAAACAGTGCCCTGACAAGATTTCTGTTATCTTTTACTGGAGAAGTAAGAGCTGAGGAGAGAGAAGTTTTAAGAATGTTTACAGTGAGGACGAGAGATAAGATGCAAAAGAGTTTTCAGTGTGTGTGTGTGTGTGTGTGTGTGTGTGTGTGTGTGTGTGTGTGTGTGTGTGTGTGTGTGTGTGTGTTTTCTGTCAATACTTCTGTCCCTCAGCAGCTACCTCTGTTACAAGAAAGAGACATGGTGGTGACAGTGAGCTAACCCTTCTCAGGGACAGGGAATCACAGATCTTTAAAGGTGCAAAGCTGCAGCATAAATAAAACTCACACACTTTTCATACACACACACACACACACACTCTCACTCTCTCTCTCTCTGTCTTTCTCTCTCTCTTTCACACATACAAACACAACACACACACACACACAGACAAATCAGTAATCTCCTCCTCTCCCAGGGCGGTCACTTAGTTTACTGCTGAGATCAGATACAGCAGGTCCGGGTCTCCTCACATGCAGCTGCTTCCTGGTTGTATCTTGAGTGAACTTTATGTAGAGCAAAAGACAAGAAAAAAAACAAAAACAAATCAAACTTTAAAAAGGAATTTAGAGAGTTTTTATTCTCAGAACAAGTTAATTGGTAATGCATTCCATCAATCAATCAATCAATCAATCAATAGTCAATCAGTCAGCAAACAAAATCATCAGAAGTTTCTGGCAGCAGATTGACATTGCACTAGAAGCAGACGTGGTACTGAGACCTCTATTCTCAGTTCAAAGACCCAATTTCCACCAAGATACGAGCAACTCACTTTGAGCTGCTTCATCTGAGTTAACCTCCTGCCTGTTTGCACCTCTCCTCCCACATGTGTATTGTGCAAGCTGCACTGGGCACCATAATACCACACTGACCGGCAAGGTGAATATCAAGTGAGGAAAATGCTTGCACTGATTGTTGCAGCACCATGAGAAGAGGGCCACAGTTTTAAACATCTCGCTTTGTACATGACTTTGCGTGTATGCCAAACACACTCATTTAGATGTGTTGTCGATCAGTCCTTTCAGTGTCTGAAAAAGGAAATCATAGCCCCTTTCACTCGGCGGAAAAATTAGCAGATCCTCACAAACAGATTCTCCAGCCGGGCTCCATCAGGGTCAGTGATGACATCCCAGATCGGCAGGCCTGCAGCTCTGCCAACTGAGCCTGCGGCAGCTGAAGCTTCAACAGTTTGGCGAGATGCCGTTGAAGCTCTGTCATCCTACATAGCACCGATGATGTCTCTGTCACTGAGGTTCTGTAAAAGGCAGAACAGTGGCTAAAGCTTTGTCATAGTTTTCATCAGCAGCTGAATCTTCCTCACTAGAACCTGCACTGTCTCCATCATACGGTCCCGTAGTATCTGAAGCTCTGTCACCTCCTGACTCTGTGCCAGCTTCACTGTGAGTGACAGAATCCTCCCTTTCATGTGGGTGGTCCAGGGAGAGCACAGTCATAAATTCAAGGGCAGCATCTGCATAAGAGCTGGTGTCCATGTCATTAGCCAGGTGAGTAATTGTGACACTCCTGTGCCTTAGCGCTTGGCTGCGAGCGATTCTCTTTTCAGTATCCAGATGAAGCTACCCATTTGGTATACTTAAAAGTGCTGACTTCAGTTATTGGGTGGCTCAAAGTCACCTCTGGAGATCTGTGCGCACAGGGCTGCATGTTCACACCAAACTTCACTTTGGACACTGAAAGAGCCAAACCAAAGTGGGTTTACTTCACCCTGAAGGGCTGCTCTTTGTGGATGACAAGAATAATATTGTCAGGTGTGACGTCTGTATGAAAGATCCCAGTTCCCTTTCAGGGCTTCTACTGCCACAATTAACTGAGGTCCCAAAGACTCCATTTTAAAGGCCAGGTATGAAAGGTCTTGCATTGTCCGTGAATCTCACCAAGTTTCTCTTGAACAGTCTCAAACATTTTTAAATCCAAACACTTTTGCCAACTTTGCCAGGAAGGTCCAATACAGCTAGTTAACATGCTTAAAGCAAGATGTCTTAGCATTTAGCTCGAAACACCACCGTGCCTAAGTACAGCCTCACAGAGCCGCTAGCATAACTTCAGAATCTGGTTCATCCATTCAGTGAATAATCTTTCAAACCCAAATTTTTCATTTGTTTTTTGTTTAAAACAAAAAAGCCCAGTTGACCTCGTCAAAGAGTTTTGTGTTGGCACTAGTTGTGTAACACATTAAACGACCAACAAGTGCCATAAAAAATGTCTGACTTCAAAGAATAGGGTTGATGATATTCACTTATTTAGAAACACACACACACACACACACACGTCCTTGTGTACACAAAGAGAATCCAGTCTGTCCTCAGGCCAGCAGTGACCTTGTAAAGGATGAATCTACCTGGAAATACAGATCTTGTTCCTTAGAGGCATGTTGACCCATTTAGTGAGAAATGTTTTTTTTTCCATTAATTTCCTCTTATCTCTTACCCCAAACTAAAGGAAGAGTGTGTATCTATGTATCTGTGTATCTATGTATCTATGTATCTGTGTGTGTGTGTCTGTGTGTGTGTGTGTGTGTGTGTGTGTGTGTGTGTGTGTGTGTATGTGTGTGTGTGTGTGTGAGAGAGAGAGCGAAAGAGAGACTGTGCCTCTTTACACTGCCTATTTTAAACATAGTGGTAGTTTTGTCTTTACTGCAGCGGAGAAACTTGGTGACCTGAGTCTTGCAGCTGAGCGGGCTTCCTTTGTGTGTGTGTGTGTGTGTGTGTGTGTGTGTGTGTGTGTGTGTGTGTGTGAGAGAGAGAGAGAGAGAGAGAGAGAGAGAGAATATGTGTGTATGCATGCGTCCTCTTGTATGTTCCCCTGTGAGCAGAGTTGCAGACTCACCATAGACTTTGATTAATGACACCTACAATTAATCAAGTATCTGTAGTGAGAGAGAGAGCAGCGGCTCAGTGCAGGGGCCATGCAGACTATTTAACACTCTTCAAAGAGTGTGCACACTGCAGCAGAAGGTCAGAAGCGAAGCAAAGAAAGAAAGACAGTTTCTTTTTGGACAGATGAATTTAAATATATCATTTGAAAGAGAAGGGTTTAAATGATGAGAGTATTAATCTATATTTTTCTTATCATCAACAAATCCCATGAAAACATCAAAACCAAAACTAAATGGATCAGACTAAAAAGTTTCACCTGTGTAGCCTGTGTGCTTTCACTAGTGCGCCAAATCCACAGCTTTACATGGTTCCCAACATATACACTCTTTACTCCTGATTGAGTAGCATCTCCTTAAAACTACAGCGCTCTGCTGTTTTAGGAAATTAGTCAGCTGTTGAAAAAAATAAACTGTATTAACTGTACACTGTAATATAAACTGTATATATCTTACAGTCTCAGTAGAGACAAATGTGCCACAGTCAGGGCTGGGAAGCAGGTAAATATTGAGAAAAAACTAGCTAAACTAACTACTTTAGTTTTTTTCATGGGATTAGCAGACTGTAGATACAGGATACCACTGGCCATAGACGTTACGTTGTATTATTTGTGTGCTGCAGATGGGGTTCTTCACGAAAATAATTTTTTGCTGTTCATTTCTAAGATAATCTAAGATTATTTGACCCCCTGTTGCGTCCACTTTCAATCATATCTTTCTTACTCCTCTCTGTCCATTCTGATCACTTTCTTCTTCTTTCCTTTTTCTTGCCCCTCTTGCATTTTCTCTTTTCCTCCCATTCTTCTGATATTTTATCCCCCACTCTCTTTAAATTTTTCCTCCCCCCTTGTTTAGATTATGGCTGAAAGGAAAAGTGCCAAGGCTGCAGCTGGCAGCTCCTCCCAGACCGGCTCTGATGTACCCCTACAAGGTACACACACACACACACACACACACACCTTCTCTTTTTCTTTGAGTCTTGCTCTTTTGTAGCTTGTGAGAGAGAATTGAATTTGTCAGTCCTGTGCTATCTCCCCTGCTGTGGTACCTTGTGTCACATTACAGCATTCCTCTACATCTGAAACAACGTATGTTTTTTAAAAAAAAAAAAGACCTAATCGCCTCAGGAGCAACTGTGAACATTTTTTAATAGAAAAGATAGCAGTGTTTGGTTCAATTACACACAGATAATGCTGACTCTACTACAACCTCTCTCTCCACAATCACTGAGCTTTATCCTCGCAATACTAATTCTATTCACTGTTTCCCATTTCACTAAGTCCCAACGCTTGTTCCTCTCAGTCCCAAGTAATTATAGGCAGAATAAGAAAAAGCGCCAGCACAATTCATCCTCCACTGTAACTTCAGCCAGTGTGTGTATCTGCTGAGCACTGAGGAAAGGAGCTTCAGCATCAGAATATAAAAGAACTATATCGGCTCTTCACTTACAGAGGCAGTCGACCTCATTAAAACGCAATTAGTGTTTCTTTGAGGCGAGGCCTGGTGCTCCATAGTGCCCATCCCAACCTCAGGATCAAAGACCTTATTGGTGAAACATCTCTCACATCTTTTAAAGCTATAACATGCTTGAACTTGAAAAAATGGTATCCAGTGAGAGGCATTTCCTTTGCAGTGGATGAGGTCTTACATCCACTGGCTTTGCAGTGAATTGAAAACAGGTCTTGCTCTCACCTGGATTAGATTTCTTCAGGGTAGCTGGGAGTGCTGAATCCTATGTTGGGACACTTTTGAGGAGCTTAGTACTGAATGTTTTGGGATTAGCGCCAATGCCAGGATAATGGTCGTGCTGTTCTCATCAAATCTGGCCTGTCTGTGCTCTACTTTAAATATGGAATTAATGTGTGACTGTTTTCAGAGAGATACTGGGGATTTTTTTCATGGAACACACTGATGAGGTGAAGTTGTCATATGTGTGCTGGTTATCTTCAAGTTAACACCCCCTGAAAATCTTGTTTTTGCTGACCTCCATTAGTTTCTCTTCCCACCTTGCTGCAATGATGTACAGGTGTACTCCAGGACACTGTGACATCACTGTTGGGTGTGGTTACAGCACACTTATGACCACACCCAACCACACACCCATGTGATGCTGGATGTGGTCAAAGGAGAAAAAGGCTTGAAGCTTTCAACCAGTGCAGACAAAGAAACATTGCTCTTCAGCCTAGTGTTGAGTTACTCTTTAAATTTAAATTTAAAACGATTATGATCTTTCAAATTATTCTGATAGCAAATTTTTGTAAGACGAAAAATCAAGGCAATCCCAGTGAAAACTGATGCCTTGCATGTCTCATTACATTTTAAAATTGTCGCTTTAATATGAGCAATATGTAATTTACCTGTGTGATATATTTTAGTATCTGACTTTTTGTTATCAAAGAAGGTTTTTTTTGTGAGGGACAGTGACAGCGGAGAGATGATAAGAAATGAGGGGAACAAAGGTCAAAGACACCAGGGACATTATGACACATAGTCAGCAGCTGCAGCTCCTTGGTGCCACCAAATCAAAGTTTTCATAAAACAATTACAAACTGCAGGTGTTGTTATATACTAAACCCACTAAACTGGATATGTACAATGAACATTTAATTTTGACAGTCTCAGTTATTACCACTTCACCACTTTGAGTCTTTGGTGCCCGTTTTATTGTGTTAAAAGAATGAACATTCTTTAAACCGCGTGGTTTAACTTTTGTCCAATTTTAGTTTTTTGTATTTTACCGTTAGAAATTATCTCAAGCTTGTAAAGTAAACTGTGTGGTGTGTTAATAACGAGGTCCTGGGGTAAAAGATGTTAACCCCTGCGCTGATTGAAATGCAGGTGAGACAGCATCTTTGATCATCGTCAGTCACTGTCTATGGCAATCTTTTCTGCCCACAGGCCATTGTGTAAACAGGCACAGCTGGGCTTTCTTGCAGAAAATATCCAGCTCTCTGAAATCCTGCATGCCTGTGCGTGAACATATTTTTTCATGCCCTAATCATATCAACAGCACCCTTAAATATTAAAATATTCACTAGTGTTTGTTTATCTCTCTAGTTTAAGCCAATTATCATGTGTGGACTCTTTTGGAACTTTGTGTTAGATGTTGCCGTGTGATTAAATTCCCGGTGGGCGATCTGTGTGTGTTTGTTCAAATGTGTGTTTCTGTGTGTTTTCTCTGCAGAGTTTCCCATGCCAAAGACTGAGTTGGTGCAGAAGTTTCATGTGCTGTATCTGGGTATGACATCTGTGACACGACCTATAGGTAAAACTGAACCCATGTTGAAATCCATACGGACATCATAAGACATGCTGCGTTCTGTAGTGAACTCCTCCACGCATTGTCTTGCTGTTCAGACTTCTGTGTTTTGTCCTCAGGTATGGACATCATAAACGGGGCCATAGACAGCCTTGTGTCCTCCACAGGCAAAGAGGACTGGACTCCTGTCATACTGAGTATTGCAGACACCACTGTGGCTGTGATCAAAGAAAAGGCAAGGGGCTTTCGGTTGCTATCCTGAGGACTTACAAATAAATAAAATATGTGAATGCTCTTATCAGGTATAGAGGAAGATCTAATAGAGCTTTGATTCTCCTCTTTGATGGCTGTGCAGGAAGAGGATGAGGAGGTGTTGGTGGAGTGTCGTGTCCGTTTCTTGTCCTTCATGGGCGTGGGACGAGATGTGCACACATTTGCCTTCATCATGGACACTGGAAACCAGCACTTCCAGTGTCATGTGTTTTGGTGCGACCCCAACGCAGGCTGTGTGTCTGAGGCTGTGCAGGCAGCGTGTGTGGTAAGCTCATATTTAATTCTTTCATAATGAAATGATGATGAAATTGTTATTTATATTTCTTTGTTGTGTCACTATTCCTAAATGAATGTCAAAGGGTGGCTTTGACTTTAAAGGAGCAGTTCTACATTTTGGACAGTACACTGCTTGCTTGCCAAGCGTTAGATGAGAGGACTGATACCACTCTCTTGTCTGTATAGTAAATATGAAGCTACCGCTGGTTATCCTGGCTTTGCATAATAGCCGACAGTGGGGAAACAGCTAACCTGGTTCTGTCCAAAGGTATTAAATTTGCCTACCAATACATTAAAAGCTCATTAATTAACACATTATATCATTTGTTTAATCCATACAAAATCCAAAGTATAAAATCTAAGCGCTTTATGTGCTGGATTGTACTGGATTTTGTTACCTTTGGACAGGGCCAGCCTATCGGTCTCCCTTTGTTTTCTACCTATGGGCTAAGCTAAGCTAACAGGCTGCTGGTAGTAGCTTCACGTTTGCCCTACAGATGAGAGAGTGGCATCAATTTTTGCAACTTTCAGCAAGAAAGTGAGTAAGTGTAATGCCCAACTATTCCGAGAATAAATGACCAACAAACTGTAGGCAATATACATTGTGTTGTATTTTTCTTGCATTTAACCCAAAACCCAAACAATAAAAACTCCACTAACCATCTCCTCTTGTTCATTAGCTGCGGTATCAGAAGTGTCTGGTGGCAAGGCCGCCCTCCCAACGCGCTGGTTCCTCCTCCTCGCCCTCTGCGGACTCGGTGACCCGACGGGTGACCACTAGCGTGAAACGTGGCGTCCAGTCTCTCATAGACACTCTGAAACCCAAGAAACAGCCATCAGAACTACCCCAGCAATGACCGTCACCAGTGACCACAGCACCACCCAGCCGACGCCTGGAACGCCACTCACACTATCGCCACGACAACACCTAATCAGTACCAGCCATGGTAAACAATGATGTACATATATGTTAACAAACACCACCGCAGATGAAGGAACGAAGAGCAATCCTCCAAAATGCCTGATGATTAAAAAAATAACAAGAAAACGTATGTTTCATGAGGAGGAATGGAAAAGCTGCAGCGTGTTTGCTTCTGTCACTTGGTGTCACTGGTTGAACTTTGACCTTTGAACGCTACTTTGCCCAAGTGGAAACCACCTGCTGGCTTCACTGGCCCTTACTTTATGTGGATTTCTGGCCTAGATGGATTACTTGATCAAGCGGTCCATAGACAGGATACAGGATTACCCAGAAGAAAAAGATCAAATTTCTATTTAGACTGGTTTGTGTAACCACTCATTGGTTTACTCAGTTTTCTTTCACGCTCTGTCCCCTTCTGTAAAATATATTCATCAGCACAGAAAGAGCTCCTGGACTAGATGGCAGAGAGGCTGAGCTACAGGAGCCTTCCTGACAGAAAATGGGGTCTTCTTGCTGTCAAGGGAATCTGACAGGTGAATGAGCAAAACAACCAAGACCAGACAGACAAGACCTGTCAACACTCCAGCAGCCGACCAAATGGCATAAAAATATTTTGATCCTTAAGATGTGTGACAAACTTGAAACAGAAAGAAACTTAAAATCCCCTCTGAGGATGAATGAAGTGATTGTAATAATGAAGTGTATGTAAATGATTGTATGTAGGAAGAGAGAATTTAGGGTACAAATCTTGTAGATATGAGGGAGAGATGAGCTGTTGGTGACAGAAAATGCGACAGATGTGGGTTTTGATTTTGCATGTTTTCTTCATGGGATATGTTTTTTATGTAGATGAGTTAAGGGTCTTGGTAAGAAGAGTGGTGAACACACAAGAAACAGATGCTCTCAGCACAAGTCATCTCCACTTGACCATGACTGGATTTACACTGGCACAAAAAAAAAAAAAAAAATCAGGCCTATTTCTAACCTATACTTAAATAAAAGGTTACTCTCTGCCCCATTAACACAATTACTATTACGTCATTTAATATTTTTTACTCTCCATTCCCTCATAAATGGCTTGTTCAGCAAAAGAAAGGTAACAGTTTTTAATGTATTTTGAAGCTTTAAATTAGTTACGAGTGTAGGTTTTTGCATTCATTAGAGAAAAAATGAGTTGGAAAGCTCAAGAATGTCACATTGCTTATGTCCAAACTTTACAATTTCCTCAGGAATCTTTCTGCATACACCTGAAGATTTATGTGCAGTAGTAGCAAGAAATTCCAGATCCAATCTTTGACTACACAGTAGTGTTCGCCCTGCCTGAACAGCATGGAAAAGATCAAATCTGTGCCATATAGTAAGGGTTAAAGCTGTATTTTCTCTTCCTCAGTAAATCCAGCCGGTCTACTCCCACTCACAAACAAACATACACACACAAATATGCACATACGGCGGGGAAAAAAGTCTGCTGTCACTGCTATCAAAACCTTTACACTGCTCCTGTGGCTCGGGGCCACCACCTGCACTCGACATGAACTCTGTGAATGCAGTCAAATCTTAGCGAAAAACACACTCCCACACACAAAACAAATGAGAGATGCTGTAAATCATTTCAGTTCTGTTCTTCACTCATCTCTACACCATGTAAATGTAATCTGTTGTGACAATAAATGCATTACCAAAAGAAAAAGCAGCAGCTTTTTGAATATGTCCTTTAATTTTTCAGGTCACTGGAACCTTAAGTAATAGCTGTTCATTATGTAATGACATTGTAATGACATTGGCCCAGCCCTATAAATATATGCAGTTTGATTAGATTCTGAATGAGGCAAGGTTCTTCTTTATGGAACGCAAAGACGTGGTAATAATGACTTTTTAATAATGACAAGTGATAACCTCAAGATTTGAGGTGACATTTTCACATGCTCTGTGAAATTTGGCAGTTAAATAACACTATACATTTTGGTGTTAGATTTAAATACTTCTGACTTTATTTTAAGTAAGCACTTGGCACAAAGGTTAACACCTCTTTCATATTTATGTTGGGTTTTTGTGAGCTCAAAACAGAGGCCGGGATTTCACCACATCCTTGGAAAGGCCACCACTGGAGCGGGAGAGGGGTACAGTCTGACCCGGACCCCTCCACTTGTAGTTGAAGCTGGGGCTGAATCCCGTTCGGCTGTGCTGGGGAGGAAAGAAGTTGGGAAAGTGAACAGGAGGCAGAACGAGCACCACAGGCTTCAGCACCTCCTGAAGAGCTCTACGAGGACGAGCAACAGGGGTAGAAGGAGGAGGGGCGGGATGCACAGAGGTGGTGGTAGTAGTTGTAGTGTTGAATACAGGGGTGATGCTTTTGGTGGGTTTGCTGTTTTCTGGTTTGAGGGAGGAGGAGCAAGAACTTTCTTGTTTCGAGGAAGCGAAGGGGCTGGACACGGTATTCTTTACGGTTTGCAAGCGCAGAGATTTGGGTTTACCTGAAAGACAAAAAAACGGGATAGAGGTCAGAGGAAGAGAACTTGATTTTTTCACCAAACTACAGAAAGCACTGAGAAAAGGGGATGAGAAATAAATACTGAACGACTTCTGTTCAAACCAACATTATTCCTTGCTACTCTTAGCCAAAATCTAAAAGGAATGGTTTGACATTTTGGAAAAAGTTTGCTTATTCGGGTTCTCACTACAGGTACATGTGGAGATTAATTCTACTTATCTGTGTAAATATGAAGCTACAGCCAGGAGATGGTTACGATAGTTTAGCAAAAGACTGGAAACAAGGGAAACTGCTAGCCTGGCTCTTTCCTAAGGTAAACAAGAATCCAGTTTTTGTATGGATTTAACAAACAAGATATAACTTATACAACTGCAAAGTTAACTGGCTGTAGCTTCATATTTAATGGACACACATGAGAGTGACATCAGTCTTCTCGTTTAAGCCTTAGTAAGAAAGCAAATATAAGTATTTACCAAAATGTCAAACTACTCCTTTAACCAGCTTCATGTATCTGTTACAATATACAACTGAATTAAGATATAGGACTGAAGCAATCATGCCCACCTTGTGATGACCACCGTCTGTTTGTAAATTCCTGATGTCCACATAATGAAGTACTGTTTCTGCCCTTCGTCTCTTGGTGTTTGGATTGAATACAGACTGAAAGGTGGGGCTGAGAGGTGCGCACACGTGCTGCTTTTTTCATCCTGTTGGTATGTCCATGGAGCTCTTTTCTGGTTGGCTCGTTGGAGTTGATCCTGTCCAGTATGCCTTTGGCATTTGCCCTGGCCAGCACTTCCTGTGGTGTCTCATTGACCACTGGCTCAGGCTGTTGAGAAATGACAGTTTCCATGACCAAATAGCTGTTGTGAAAATGTAATGGAAACTATTTGTTTAACTATTGTATGCTGAAGCATATAGTTAGCGCTCCAGGTAACTTCACTGACTGGCTACCCAAACACTCCAGTGTAAGAAATAAAATATAATACTTATTATATTTATATATTATATTCTCATTTATCATAATCAATGAGAAATCACAAAGAGATTAAGGCAAATCATATAATAAACATTTAATGGATCTACTAAAAAAAAGATTAATTTACCACAATAAAAGAAAAAAGAATTAATGCTTGAGTTGCTTTACACAATATATAATATAGGAGAGGAGGAGAGGAGAGGAGAGGAGAGGAGAGGAGAGGAGAGGAGAGGAGAGGAGAGGAGAGGAGAGCCACCATGTCCTTGTTGCTGGCTGCGGGGTCACCTGCTGTCTCAGCACCAGCACACACAGCAGCCTACTGCTCTCCTCAACACCTGAATTATTCACAAGCACAGTGTACACTACGGGGACATGCAGCCTGTGTGGGTTTATGTGTGTATTTTGTTGTAAGTGCTTGTATGTACTTTAATGCAAATGCATATATGTGTTTGTATAAGCTATCTGTAATTCTGTGTACATAGATATGTTTGCAAAAATAAAGTGTGCCTGTGCATGCGAGGAGGGTGCATTTTGCACAGGTGCATGTACCTATAAGTGTTGAAACTCTGTGCACACAGGTAAACATGTCTTAGAAGCACGGCTATAATGCAGTCTTTGGTGGACGCCCTGAACTTCATTGATGCTAACTCATACAGACAGGGGGCGCTGAATTATTCAACAGACACTCTCCTTTGCCTCCCTTTCTTCCCTTCACCCCTGTAAATCTCACTTCCTCTCCACTAACCAACTATGCCATACTCTGTAAATCTCTCATTTCCTTCTACACTCTGCCAAACTAATCTGCAGAGCGCACCCTGGGGCGGAGCCCATTCTGTTTCAGTACTGTTGTCTGAACTCATTACATCCAATATATCTTGGCAAATATATCCAAATTTATGGAACTCTTCTTACACAATGAAAAAAGTAAAAGTGAAAGGTGTGGGGTTCTAAACCCTATATTAACATTGTCCAACTTCGTCCTTCAGTAGTTACAGTCTTTTAGAGCAAAGTCCACCCATGATGTGCTGTGCTTCCTCTAAAAATTTGACCAGAATCACTTGAATGTCTTTATTGTCCCCAGCTGTTCCTGTATGGAAGGCTCATAAAGAACTTCACTGGGCGCTTCTATGACAGTCGATGTAAGCCAGACAGCATTCAAACACTTATATAATTGCTATTTTTATGGTGCTTTTCAGAGTGCCACAATAACTTTTGATTAGCTGAGTTTATTGGAGGTAGGGAGAAAAAAATCATGTTTGAAGCACCATTACAGCAGTTTGATTATCTTTTCATTCCTGCCAGTGGAGGTATAAAACATGATGAACGGCCAGAGAGAAGCAGACACTACAGTGCGAGAGAGCCCCGTCATACCCGGTGGGGGTACGATGGCTTAATAACCCTGCACTGGCATCATAAGCGTGAGAGCAGATTTCATAATGTGAGGGAGTATGTCGTAAACATGGCTATGTTGTGGATTATGAGGATGTGGGGAAGCCCTGTAGATCAACTGCAACACACTGCACCTATGGCCAGTTAGACCTAACAGTCTACTATCTAGCCTAAGTAATAAGCAAAAGAGAGTGAGAGTGAGAGTGAGAGAGAGAGAGAGAGAGAGAGAGAGAGAGGGAGACAGAGTGAAAGAGAAGGATAGACAAAGAGAGGAAGATGAAAGTGGGTTGGAGACGAGATGAATTTGGCTGAAATAGAGGACTGAGAGACTTTATGAAGCAATTAAAGCCTCACGACTCGACGACACAATAGAGTCAAAGACAGAGTGCGTACCAATTATCAGTGTTCATAAAAGAGTCAGAAAATTGATCTGAGGGCTCCTTTCAGACACTGACATTTCTGAATTTGCCTCCAAAGACACTCTGTCCAAGAAATTTCTGCTGTGTCTACTGTGTCCAATTCTCAAAGGTAATTCCAAAACACCTCCACAGACGTATACACAAATAAAAGAGGACTCAATCACCTTTCTGGTTTTTAATATGAGCTATGACATACAAGACTCTCTCTATCCAACTCTCTGCTTTTTATGCTCAGAGGGTGACTCTCACTGTCATCTTGCTCCTCTCATCCCCTCATCTCATTGTGACGTACTGAATTTCTATTTTTTCTAAGTTGACCCAGACAATGTCCTCCTCTATCTTCAGATTTTCCTTTTGAGCATTCATTCACACTCAGCCCAACACCTTCCCCTACATCTCACTTTTCTTTCTTGGTGCTGATTAAACTCAGCCAGGATGCCTGTGTCTGTGACCCAACATTCTCATTTCTTTCTTTCCTGTCACAGTCTGTGATGCTCATTTTCACCTGATCCCTGCATACCTTCCCATTCAAAGGGCTCTGTTTCTACACTTAGACAAACATGCTTCAGTTTCCCAGTGGATGTTTGTGTGTGACAGATAGCAGACAGCACAGTGTACCTGCTTCATCATAATTCCCATGCTTGCCTTAACGTTCACCAATTAAACTTATTTCACCTTGTCTCTGTTGTTTCTGTGTCTGCGTGCATCCATGAGAGAGCCAACTGTATGATGGTTTTTCAGGACTTGAATGAGAGTGGGTGAAGGACAAGAGCGTCTCAGCAGATATAAATAATGGATCAGTCAGTGTTTGACCTCAGTGTATACTGTATGTGTGCAAAAAAACATACTCACTGTATCCTTTCTGTGAACAGCAATTTAACAACTGAACAAATTGTCAGGCAAACATACAACAGTAAGCCAAGTAACATGCTGGTATCACACTGGTTAAGCCCTTGGTCAGGTCCAGCACTACTGTTGGAAATTTTCTGTCATTGGAGACTAGATAGCTTGCCAGGGCCGGATGCTAAATGATCTAAATTTGTCCCTGCTTGTCTCTTTGGCTGCACTGCCTAAAAGCAGCAGCAGCAGTGGAGTGGTGCTGCTGTGGTGTTGCTACTTTTTTAAGATGTTTTTTTTAGCTGCAACAGATTCTGTTCAAGAAGTAAACATGTAGAAAAAGGTTCTGACTTTACATTTTAAGATAGTAAGATAGAAGTTCCTTATTACAGCAGAACCTGAAGGCCGATGAGGAACAGCATCTTAGGTAGATTTCACATTTGGCTTTGACATTGAGCCATAGAAGTTACTGCTCAGTGATGTTAAGTATTTTCTATACATGTTATTTAAATGTGCAATTCAGCTTGAGTGCATTCCTGCATGACTCCTCCTTTCTTGTGCTCA